GATTCTGGGGCTCCCTGCGCAACATGATGAAATTTTAAGTTACAAAAGAAAGAAAAGAAAACTGCTTCTATAGTGTTTGACTGTAACTGATATAATTCCTTGTTATTAACAAACGAGACTGAGAAGGCTTAAATGTGAACATGTCTTCACTATAAGGTCAACATGTTAATATGTGAGCAGAATAGTTAAAATTAGGGCTACTATTAAAGAGGTAAGAGGCAGCCCAGAGTAGGAAAAGAAATAATGAATGATTCTAAGATCAATTCTAAGTTTATCTTAGACAAACTAAGGGTTTGGATTACTTAGGTATGATGAACTGAACTGTCTGACATATAATTAAAATAACAGATTAAAATAACCACAAAACTTTTAATTTATGTTTGATAACTGATGGAGGACAGGTAAGGTACTGGAAGACTATACAACGGCAATGATGGGGTTTTTTTTAGATGTATAAAGATATCTAGAAAATTATCACTGAGCATAACTCCAATGGCTGAAAACATCATGAAACCAATCAAGCTTCCTTTTTCAGGAAAGCACACTATGGGAAAGGAGACACTTGACACTGTCTCTTTGATCATTCTTCTAAGTCTAAGGAAATGCTGTCAGAATGAAGAAACTAGAGTGGTTGTTGAACACTCATATCCAGAAAACACATATTCATGGCTCCTTTTGGAAAAGCAGGATGCAATCAGTGAGATTTCAAAAGTCTAACCTGAACCCAATTCTATTTAATATTTTTATTAGTAATGTGGGTGATGGAATGGAAAACATATGTTTATTTAGCTGATATGACAAACTAAGAAGGATTGTAACTTTAGAAGAACAGAAAATCAGAAGTCAAGATTATTTTAAACTGGGGAAATGGTTTGAAAAAATAACATTAAGATCAGTAGTGAAATACACTACATTTATTGAAGAACAATAAAGGATTCAGTTCTTCAGGAGAGTACCTAGGGTTACAGAAGTTCATGAGTCAATAATGTTGCAAAATAGGACAAGCATCACAGTTGAATACATAAAGAGAAGTAAAGCCCACAAGATACAAAAACTAATTGCTCCTTACTCATCTCTGTATGGCCACAACTTAATCCTTGGTGCAAAGAAAAAAAAAAAAAAACAGCAACTCAAGAGTCCAGAGGAGAGAGTAATCAAGAGTGTAGAATATGTAAATTGCAAGGAAAGACTGAGAAAAACTGTCTTGTTTAGTCTAAAAGTAAAAAGGCAGGAGGAGGAGAAGCTGTGATAATGATTTAACAATACAGGGTTTTTTAGAATAAATTCACACTAATGGTTCTGAGGTAACACACAGGCTTTGAGGGGGAGCACATCTAAAGCCATATTGTATCAATACAGCACTTATCATTAGCACATGAAGATGCATGTTAATTTAATTACTGTAATTAAATTGACTGTAATTGACTTATACAAGGCCATTCCAACCTCATCCTTAGTTTAGCCCCTGATTCTTGGATGCTATTCTGTCAGATGGAGTGTCAGCAGCAACTGTACTGCCACCAAGTATCAAAACACAGGGAAGCTGGATGACATTCCTCCATTTAGCAGTAGTAAAAAATATCAGACAAAACCAAGGCTATTCCTTCACTGCAAAAGGTTTAGCACAGAAGCAGATCAGTGATAGCCTCTGTTCAACTTCACTAATAAATAAGGGCACACTTCTAGGTAGAACACAGCTAAAATTGTCCACAGAATTTGAGCAATTATTTTTTTAAAAAAATCATACTTTTCACAACAACTTTTTGCATTTACCTTATTTTTGGGATAAACACGAGGTGCCACTCCAAAAAAGACACATGGCATTTCCTCCAGTGTGTCATTATCAACAACGTGAAGTCTACAGGAAGGGATAGTGCTATACACCTTTGGCACTATAAGCATATCTTCTGGAACAAGAAATGTTTCTCTAAAAAAAAAAAAATTAAAATGATTTTAATAAATAAAACTATTTTTGTAACATGAAGTAAAAGTACAGGTTAAAATTTAAGGAAAGTGGACTTACGCAAAATTAAGTTTTTAAAGTGGGCTAGTGAAAAACCACAGTATCGATACTACTTCCCCATAAGAGTTATATAGGACTGTATGAAACTCACCTGAAAACCACAAACCACACATTTGGTGGTTGATCAGCATATGTCACAGAATAATCAGTGAAAGATACCTTACACCATTCATCTTCATAACAAGGAAATTTTTCAACTGACTTACATTTTCTTTTAAACATTTCTCTGGAATGCAGAAAACAAGATAAATATTTAAACCTAATCAGGAGGGCACATACATCTTGACTTTAGCTTACATTAATCATGAAGAACACTGCTTGGTGGATGAATGTAAAACAATTATACATAATGTGTTACTAATGATTCTCTAGTAGCTGTTCAGTAAAAAAATAGTAAATCAGTTAGGGATCAGCTGTTTTGGAGCTAGTGGCCTGGAATGGAAAATATTTCCATAAAAATATTTTTATTAGTCAGTCTATCCATAAATATAACTGATTCTAATAGCCACAAATGCTATAACTTCTACAAAACTTCACTTTTAGTTAGCATAATGCCCATTTCTTTATATTAAGTTGTGATCTTAAAGCTGTGGCATCATTAAGAGACTAAAGAAATCCTTCGTTTCCCTTTAAAACTTTTTTGAACCAGAAAGGAATGAAAGCAAGCCCAAATAAATTTAAAATGGATGAAAGACACTTCTTTCACACAGGAAGAAACCTAGGCTGCGAATTCAGAAGTTATCTGTAAGGCAAATAAGCTCACAGGTTCTGTGAAAGTACAGCTAATCTCACTGGCCTGACACCATGATTTATTTCTTGTTTAATCATATGCAGTATCAAAAATTAATGTTCCTCTGGACAAAGCAACATGAAGACCAGCAGACGAAGGTCACTATTTGGTGAATGTGTTGTCAGGTGAAGGGCATAAGAAAGATAATTGGTCTCGCTTCAACTTTTGACTCCTTCCCATTATTTTCTCTAGAGATTGAGTGAAAATATGCCTGCACAGAGGTGGATGAAAGCATATCCTTCTTCCTGTCACTCCCTCTGTCTTGTGTTATTCTTTAACTACCTGCTTTCTGTACTAAGCAAACAACAGGTTGTTTGGATTTTTTTTTTTTTTCCGCTATCTTTTAATTGCTGTAGTTCCAAGTTTGGTTTTTATGGTTTATGTCAAGAGGATAGTCTAAAGAAACCTAACAACATCCATTTTCAGTGATAGCTATCATCTTTTCTGTGTCAAATATGAACATGTTCCAGTTGTTCAAATACAAAAGTTTTATCCAAAAAATTTGGAAAATGCTACTCTGATTTTCTGTTATTCCTATATAGTAATCAGAATTACAGAAACCATTTCATCATTTATTTTTTAGCAAAGATAATAGCTGACCTTGACATTTAATTAAGGTGAGTCATAGAGTGGATGCAAATATTGCTGGCAGTAATTTAAAGCAGAACAGTTTGAAATCTTAACCCATGGAGCTTTGCAAAGGTTCCTTCCACCACTGATAAACAGCACTCAGACATAAAAAGCCCCTCAGAAACCCCAAATTTTTCATTAATTGAAAATTATAGGAGGGACAAACATAGATGAGCTTATATGAGATGTATAATGGGAAACAGTTGGCAACCCTAGCACAAACTGAGAGGTTTTAGGGCATTTTAGACTGGTATTTGTGTTGTAAAATGGTACTGCCTCTGGCCTCCAGTAAGCCTAGGATTAGAGAATGGGAAAACTTTTACCCTAAAAATGCACTTCCAAAACTCCTGCTTGTTACTTTATCAGCCCAGGTGGCAGCTTGTTATATTAAATGCAAGTCTGTCAGCTTTTAAAAAAGAAATGAAGCAAAACCACATTAGCATGATTTTAACACTGAAGTTTATCTCCTGGGACAATGTCTAACAATCAGACACATAAGTTTTGGAAGTCTGAAGGTAGACTAAAAATTGCATCTGATCATGGCTGATTTGGAGACGCTGCAAATCTAAAAGCGAGGTCTAATATTTGGAACAAGGCTAGGTTGCAAAATCCTAAGCTCATCAACACACAAACCTGATACAGGATTAGAAACACTAAAAAGTAAAATTATACTTCATACGAGTGTTCCTCAATTGCTGGTTATAAGGAGTGATGATTTACACCCATAGACAGTAGTTACTGTCAGTTCTCACTCTTCACCTCTGGCAGAACTGATCTTCTGTCCACTGCCAGAACACTTGTGTGAACACTTGCAGAGAGATTTTTGAAAGACTTAATGAAAAAATGAGATCCTCCAAGAATCTCATGCCTGCAAATGACTTAAACACTTGAAATTACAGTAGCCATTTTTGCAAAAGCTGTAATTAAATACCAGGGAAAGCATCTGTCTAGAAATACAACTATCTTCCTTCAAGCAAGTGATACAAACAAATCCCCTGATGATATAAACTGTGGTATGATGAGAAAGGAGATAGCTATACTACTTAATGTCAACTAGGGCTCCTTAACAGATAGCATGGATCAAAATGCTTTTTTAAATCCACTGGTTAGCTGTTTAACTAAGGAATCAGTATTAGATTTATACTTATGAAGCAGCATATTGGATATTAAGAAATTAATGTGTGGTAGAAACAGCTACTGAAAACAGCTAGAAACGTAATATTCTAGGTCAAGCTGTAGGAAAAAAACTGTTCTGCACATACCTAAAAAAATTATATTTGCTGTAATTTTACTCCTGTAGAGTATAGAGTAAAGCATGGCATATCTTCACTAAAAACATCTCATAGGTTCCAATGAACTTTGGTAATTTTAAAGCTAGTAACGCTCCTACTCTATTTTGTGAAACAGCAATTTACAGCAACTCTATGGTACTACATGCAATAAAATATAGTTTAATTTTTTTACCTTAACAGTATTACAGAACACTGTTCAAAATTTAACTCAATTGCAGCCCACAGTTTTTGCAAGGTTTCTTTGGCATTAGCATTTTCTTTAGTACCTGGAAATAATCAAATAAGTTAGAAAATATAACAACTAATTTTTATTTCTAAATACACACCTGCCAAATACTTGCAAAAAATGCCACTCGCACAAGTAGATTGATGAATCACTAGTTTTTATATAGAATTTTACAGAAGTAAAAATCTGAGCTGAAAACTAATTTTTCCTCTGATAGAAGAAATTCCCTTCATCACCACCTTTGTACTTTTTGGCACTTCTACAACTGCAAAAATGATGTGATCAATATTTTCTCCGATTTATTTTTTTCACTATAACATGCAGTAGTGCTATGAGGTGATCTCTGTCCTAAACCAAAATCTTAGTTTATCCCAATAAATACCTTATCCTTTTAAAAATAAAAGCCACTTTTTCTAGTTTAAAAGTGTCTCACTTCTTTGAATCTCACCACCTTTGAATCTCAGACTAAAGACCTTCTTGTTAAACCTTTAGAACTTGGACTAAATACCTTGTTGCTATCAAATCCCTTTTCTCATATGGGTACTTATAGATTATAGTGAAGTCATTCTCAAGCTTCTCCCTCTTAAATTACAAACTAGCAGCCCGTAACTAGAAAGCCCTTCTTTAATTCTGATCCTTAGAACTCTGCCCAGAATTTCACAGGTGGTACCTATCTTTCTTCTTGGACTGTGGACACTGAATTTGGACACAATATTCCAGCTGAGATAATGGAATTGCTGAATAGGAAATGTAACACAAGCTTCCAACTTCTGTGCAAGATTCCTCTATTTGTATACATAAGAATGAAGGATAGTATCAGCACAGTATCTTCTGGGCATAGTATCAGCCTTTGATACTGCTTTTTTCTGATGATTATTAAACTTAGGTACTCATATGGACTTGCCTTACTTTTTCAGAAAAAAATAAACCAAACACATTTAGCCCAGCTTTGAACTAAATACACATTAACGTAAATTCTGGTTAGATATGTATGAAAATCTAGGGGAAGTATCTTTCCTCTACTTTTTAGTACCACATGTGCTAATTGAGTGGTTAGGTTGATCCCTTCTTAGTTCTATTAGAGATGAGAGATTCTACAACTTTCTATCACATTTCAGTTCATTTTAACTAGATATTAATCAGTAACAAAATTTTTAGAGTAAATATTTGAACAAGGTGATATGTGAAGCATTTTTTAAAAGGACACACCTGGTTTTCTGCTGTTCAGTACTTTCCTAACACAGGTCCCTCTCCAGATGGCTTGAAGTTTAAGAGCCGCTGCTGCTTCTTCAGAAGTGGGAGTTCGGATCTGCAAATTACTAACAGAACTCTTCTCACAACTCTCTGAAATAAGAGGATGGCGATCAGCAACATCAATAAAGCTGGAAATCCTGTAGCTGCTTGCAATTAAGTTAAAAAGAAAAAAAAACCAAACCAACAATCACAAAATTATGAGACAGCTATATTCCAGAACAGTGGTTTCTGCATAAAACTTCCATTCATGACAAAAATAACACTCTTAAAATTTTGCTCATATCATGATAAAATTAGACAAAATATACTCTATAATTGCACAAAGTCAGAATGCAACTTGGATGCTAATTCCAAATACCAAACCAACGAGTTCTTCCTTCTCTTTATAGACATCTATTACAGTGCATTTTTTTAAAATATCCTTTCAAACGTGAACCAATAGGATTTGACACATTAAAGCCTGACATTGAATACAGCTTAAAAGAGCTTCACAAGATTTTAAGTACTTTTATCTGTCAATCCAATCATTTTATTAAGCAGCAATTTAAACACCAATGTTGTTCAAAACACTGTATTCAACCTTTGCTAAGGAGCCATAGAATAAGACCTATGACAAAGTGAGAGTTCATTTATCTGACTGTGACTTTCTGTTACTAAGGAGTTTTGGAGTGGAACAGAAATTAGTAGGTTCTGACGGGTTAGTAATGAGCTCTTTGAAGGCATCCTTGGCTAGAATTAGCATCCTGGGAGCCATCAGCACTGGGGTTTAGGGAGAAGGGAGCAGCAGTACAAGGAGCCAGTGCCAGGGGCCAGTTTGGAACTGCACAGAACAAGGGCCGTGAGACAGTGTGAGAGGAGCAAGACAGTGCTCCAAAAGGAAGTACCAAGAAAAAAAGGAGAGGAAATCTACCTGAAAAAATGCAGACAGCACTGCAGACAAACAAACTAGCTTAAGAAACTACATTACTCGCATCACCTAGGAGACCATACATATCAATCTAATCTCTTATTGAATATTGTTAACTGTGTCTGTGTTCCTACCCATTACTCCTCATTATTGTCTCACTTCCAAAAAATAAGGCTTTCCCAGAAAGCCTCATTAATACTTAATGACTCTGAAAGGTCACACAAGCCTACTTCAACAGACAACAGACTATAACTCAACAATATGAATGGCACAACCACTTGTATAAAACAGAGACATATAATAACAGCATAATATAGGCAGGAGGGAGCCCTTGTACCCTTTCATTGAAGGTTATATGGTCCAATGCCACATCCAAACTAGGATCAACTTACAGCAGGTTGCTCATGGTCTTTAGTAAATGTCCTGTCCATTTTGTAATAACTTCAGGGATGGAGATTCCACAACCTCACTGGGCAATCTCCTACAATTTTTTGACTAGCCTCACAGTGAAAAACATTTTTGTAATATCCAGCTGGAATTTACTGTGTCCTAAGATGTGTTCTGTCACTGTACATCTCTGAAAAGGGCCTGGCTCTTCTCCCTTTTATTTATTTCAAAAGGAATTTGTCCCACCTACAGGCTTGTCGGTTTTAGAAATAAATAATGCAGAGGCAAAATGCGTCTTGAACCCACTAATCATTCCTTTCAAGGAAATGAAATGGACTTGTATTTTCAGCAGATGTTTTAGCTCAGAAGAATAGCCTCTGTTGCAGAGCCTACACTCCCCATACAAGGCAAAATAATACATTATAAAGTAAGTAGAAGTTATGCTTTTTAGAAGATGCTTTTTAGAACATACAGTTACACCGACTGACCTAACAAGTAAGGAGACTGTAATATTGAACCTGAATTAATTATATAAAAAAGTGTGACTACATCTAATATTACTTCTGATTCATCTAAGCATCTCTTGTTCTTATTGCTTCTCAATCGATAATCAAGCAATGGACAACTTCCACAAGAAAGTTCACGAGTGAAAGATGGTATCACCTGCACTTGGTTTCAGACAGGTAATAAGGACTTTAGTAGTGTCAGGTTGTATGTCACTGACAATAGGCACATGAGAACCTCGTAATAAGTGCAGAAAAATCAATACTGCATAAAGAGATTACATAGTGGCATGGTGAGTCAGGGTAGCTTCCTGAAGGAACAGTTTTTAAAATTTTTTCCCCTTGGCTTAGCTTCCTGTGAAATCAGTGAGCTGATCTGATTCCATAGTATCTGTGCAACAGCTCATGGTGGGAGTATATGTCCTGAGATACGAAGGGGAGAAGGACAGAACTTTAACAGTAACATTTTGTGAAGCTACACTTTAAGGTCTAAAAAGATCTGAATATGATCTGCATTTAATCAATGGCTTATACTGTATTTCAGCATTTGCGTTGCTGACAACAATATTCATAATATCCAGAGAACTATGAATTGCCCATAAGCAGACCCCGAGGCTCCAGAAGGGACAAAAATGTACTTAGATACCATGATTCTAATTTTTTATTATTATTTGGTTATGTTTCTGCCAACTTTGCAGGCTAATCAGTCCAGCATAAGCTTTGATCTGTGCTGGAGCTGCAGGAAGGTGTGGGGACAGTACTACAACAACCTGTAGTGACACTGGTTTCAGCTGCTGGGTTTAAGCTGCTGAGGAATCTCAGCTTCAGCGTCACTTGGGAGGGAGAATAAGCATTTATAGCATGGTCAGCTGTGGCCAAGTCTTTCTCTTCTGCTGTAGGGGAGCTTATTCAATGACAGAGGAACTGAAAGGGCTTGCATTTTCCAAAAGCTAAAAATCATATAAGTGCACTTATAACAGCATTTATGTTTTTGTATACTGTTATTGATTACAGAACTGTTAATCTGATGTTTCCTTTCCCAGGAAGCATCACATAAATCTGTAAATTCAGCATCTCATGCCTGCCCAAAGCTCTGCAGGGTCCCTCTATCTACTTTCTTTCCAGAAGACCACAGAATAACCATGCCATGGAGAAGCACTCAGCTTCAGAAACTTCCATATTTTTGTCATACGTACATATGGTGTGCTCTTCCACTTGTTCCTGTGGCTAAATATTTCATGGGGAAGGATGGTATTTGGCAGACATGTCAGCAGATCTTTTTCAGGATGGCTTCTTGGAAACCTTACCAGGTATGACTGCTAACTGCAGGACATCATAGTATCTTTGCCCTCAGTAAATCTTGATGCATTCAGCACACAGTGCCAAATGAATATGTTCATAAAAATGGAATTTCAAAAAACAAAAGCTCAGATTTGACCTGATCTGCTCTCAGACACAGACAACAAAAAGATTCCATTTATCTGTTATGACAGTTTACACTGATGACTTTCAGGTTCCAAAGGGTTATAATTTAAGTCTTGACAAGCAGTGAGCAGCTATTGCTAATGTGAGCCAGGCAAGTCAGGTGACCTCAGTCTTTCGAGGCCTTTCTACAATGCTTTTCCCACCTACTTTTTCCTGCTATCTATATTTTTTTTTCTTGACACTTCACTTGATTTAAGCTTTTTTTGAATGCAGCTGTCTCCATTTCTTTAGAGTTGTGGGATGGAACCTGAACAAAAGCATGCATTTATTCTAATGCAACCTTTACTAAGCAGGGTAAAATTTATACCCAAAGTCAATAAAGCCAAAGGGAAATAATTCACATTCCAGTCCAAGAGCAATCAAAATTAAATTAAGAAGATATATTAAACACTGGAGGAAACCAAAACCGAAAGGGAACCTTCCTCCTCCATACATTTATTCCACTTTTTTGATTCATCCAACAAATCCTAAAAAAATATTCTGCCACAGTGAATTTCATAATTCAGTAATATATATTAGGTCTTCACTACAACCTGTCAACTGTGCTAATTATTCAGATCTAATTAAAAAACACATTAAAAAAAATTCTTTCTTCTATTACTGATAAGTATTTCTGTTTTTCTGGGAACACAGAAATTAGTAGCAGTCATCTTGAAAAATGTGACATGTATTGTTGACTTCAAGTGATGTGACAAATGTCAAATGCCGACCCTTATAGCTTGTACTCTTGCCATAGGATATAATTCTGTGAAAAATACAATGAGTTATTCTGTCATTCTGGCTGATCATTTATCTCTGATGTCTCACAGAAATATAACCTTCAGAAAAGAGGAGATGTAGAAGTCCCCATTAAAGAGTGAGACAAGTATATATGCTTCCTTAAAGAAAAAGGACAAGAGTATGACAACATTTTCTTAGTAAAGGTACTTGTTTAAATTTTAATTTTCTTTTAATACTGATTTTTCCAAAGTAAACTGACTAGTGACAGGACATTAATATCATTTTGACTGACAAAAGAGAAAGACTTTAAAATGTAAGTTCATAATGGCAGAAGGAAAAACTAAGTTACCCTGAATGGCCTTCAAGTGATGATGATGTATCTCCCTGCCAGTTTTTCAGAGAAATTATTTTTCTGTCATTATGTTAAACTATATGCATAAGACTTCTATTAATAAATTAAATATTAATAGATTAAAAAGTTACATAGGCTACAAAGAAAGCCTCTTAAAACAGAAAAAAGCCACATATTTTGTTGCAAGGCAAACTTAGTTTGAAGTGCTTATGCCTCCAGCCTGCATACAAAATGAGGCAAAGAACCTGTGGGAAGAGAATTATTCCTGCTTGCAATACATCTGTTTGCTTTCCAACAGCTCCTCCCACAGTACCTTCAGGTATACAGCATACACTAATCACAGGCTGCAGAAGAGGTGGATGGTGCTGCAGCAAGTTCCCCTCTACATGTGTGTGACTAGCCAGCCAACATGATAATGTGCCAAATAATAGGCTTAAAGCCAAGAAAGCAAGCATAAAAACCACCAAAATGTCTACCCCTTTCCCGCAAACAAACCCCAGCCTGTTACCAAGAAATAGTTCAACTTTCAATGAAGTGATTAATTGGAGCCTTTCTTCGCTCCTATTTTGTGAACAATATATGGATTTAAGGTCTTTACAGCTGCTAATTTGAACAAGAGCCATGATCTGCAGTACATCAGGTAAAAAAAAGCATCTGCAGATGCTTGTTAATACTTGTCAATACTGACAAATGCAAATCAAGGAAGACAAAGGGCAATTTTATAAACTTACAAAACAAGAACAGACTTCTTTCAACAAAGAAAAGGATCATTATCTATTCTGAGATGAGTCTCAGATGTGCTGTCAACAACAGAAGGCTTAGGCTTCTTATAAGAAACGATCCATATTTACTTAGGCAAGAACAACATTAGTGAAGAGTTGGTTTCCTTGAAAATAAGAATGGGCAGATATATTTGAAATGATTAGCAATACCAATACAGTACCTGAAGACATAGTGTCAGCCTCAGAAATATCAATGTCTCTAAAATCCAAAGTGAAGGACCTGTAGGCAAATCTGTGGCTGTAAGGAACCTTCTTGCCTAATACGTATTTGATCAAATACCAAAATGCACTGTTGAAAACCTAAAATCAAAAAGAGGAAAAGCATTCAAAGAATGATTAATTTTTAAAAGCTGATTTGTATTGCTTCCCATTTTGTTTCAAAAACTGTTTAATTCTTTTCTTTTTTTTATGTAAAAATGAAGTCTTTAACTTCCTCTACCATATACAGTGTCTGAAAATTAGTCCCAACTGCAGGACAGTTCCAGCCAACAACCACAAGAAACCCTGTTTTATGCCTAGCTTATTACATACATATAGGACTGATTCTACAGCACAGGTTTTTTATCACTTGAACATATCTTAGGAGTTTATGTAAGTTGAGTTGGTGTCATACCAGAGGACAGAAGAACACATTATGATCACCATCATGTCAACATCATTCTAGTTTGTGGTTTCAGAGCAAGAGGGGACGATTTGGTATCCCACTTATATGACTAAACTGATGGCTCTATTTTTATTCTTGATATGACTTGCATTAAGAAGCAGAAGTCTAGTCTTTATTTCTTTATTCCAATAGATGGAAACTTTAGAGCGTGGCTTTCAGAGCTCGTTTCATAATTTGAACTGAAGAACATAGTTGAATTTGAGCCTGGTATCAAGTCCATATATAAAAGCACTAGCTTGAGTGTTCCGTTTTCAGTGATGAAAAAAAATATGTCTTCTAAAATACACATTCTAAACTGCATGAGATTTCTAGTACTTTGATGGAAATTAGTGAATCTGGAACATATAAAGTACTGACTGCAGAAAAATCAAGTTTTTCTTCATATATAGCACCTTTTCTTTATATATAGCAGTATTACAAACATTTGTGTACACATAAAAATTAGGATATCTTTCACATAACTGTTTTTTTTTCCACTCTTCATAATTTTGAAAATCTACAGCATAGAGATCTACAGAAAAGTGCAATGTTTTTGTCATGTACCTAAAAACCCTTTAATTTATCACACACAGAGAGCAAAAGTTGAATAAAAATGTTGTCACCTTCAAAAAACAAAACCAAACCCCAACTCGGGAATACTGTCAGTGCATTTTCCTCATGACTGTCTTCAGTAATATAAGCAGTAATAATGTTTTCCTGTGCCATCAAGATCAGGCACAGAAAGGAACTATTCTGGCTTTTCTGCATTTCAGGTAGATTCTTTTAAATCCAAAACTGAGTTGTAAAACGAATAAAAGCTGATGCTTTCTGCCCCAAAGTATTGTAAGCAAAGTGACAAAATCAGAGACTCAAATGTACAACTTGCTACTCTGTGCATATTAAAATTTGTGCATATTAAAAGAAGATAATTAATGTACACAGTTGCAAATTATGTTATTTTGGCTTACAGTTAATAACTAATGCCACATTTGGAGCACTCAGGAGGTCCTTTTTGAAAGTGTAGCCATTGGTTTGAAGAGGATAACAACAATATTAAGCTGTTATCCAGCTTCTGTAGCCATTAGATACGTGTTTATTAAAATTGTTTGTTCACCTGGAAGTGCTCTTTAACCATTCCAGTACCGTGGAGGCCAGGAGGACAGTGAGTTAGTTCTAACTCCTTCAAGGCTGTAGAAAGTTCAGGATTACTGCTGAAATTATTTATCACATTTCCAACAGCTTTCAGGATAGCTTCAGCCTGTTCTATAAACCGGTAGCTCTCCTGAAGACAGAATAAAACCAAGATTGCTTTAAGCACTTTTTGTTTTGTTTTCTTTCTTGCCATGGTGGCATACAAGCATATTTTTCTGTGATGAATTACAAAACTTTTCGTAAGTCAAGCAACTGTCACTAATTTTATAAACTGTAAAGTCAATTAGGTCTCTGGTACTCAAAACCATACAAAATATTCACTGTGTTTAGCTATTGAAATAAAAGTGTTGCACGAAAATAACAGGCACCATAATGTATATTAGTTAAGGATTTTGTTTTTCCCATCTCATTAATCCTAGGACATTTAATAAAAGCCAAGATGCATACAGAGACTTTCTACTACAGTGATAATAACACTCTTGTTAGCTAAAATGCTCAGCAGCTCTTCTATTATAAAAGAACAGATGAATATTTGTATCCTGCTGAAAACAACGTCCAAGTACATGCTGCCAAAAGCATCATTAATCTTTGTCAGGATTTCTGTGTAAGGATGTAGACAGAAGTTTCCTGCAAATGACGCTCTTCAGAGAAATTGCTGTCTTTAAAAAGAAGTGCAGAGAAGACCCCAGGAGAAAATTCAGCCTAATTTTCTTGATGCAGAATAGCTTTTCATCCACAACCTGAAGACAAGGGTATAGTACAGGCACAACACATTGTTAATGGCTCAACTTCTTATATTTAAACTTCTTTGCTACAATAAATATAATGAATTTGCACAAGCTGCTTTAATGTCCTATTATTAGGATGCTGAATCTAGGCTGCTGTGTAAACTTTGTTACACTCGCCCTTCAAAACATTTTTGCACAACTGTGCTCTAGAAGCTACACTCCCTCCTCTCTGTGCCCACAGCAAATATTTGGGCCTACTGCTTGCCAAAGAAATCTTGAAAATATGGATGACAGCGATATCTGTCTGGAATGTAGGCAATGAAGAACAAAAGCTATAGTAATTACACCCCTGGGGTCTCTTGTCTCAGCTATGAAAAGTTGTTCAAATCAGTTGTTCACTTTAGATATAAAAGCTGCTCTGGGAACCAGCAAGTAATACGTGATCTCATGGGACAAAGCAAAATTTACATATGTGACAGTTTATTTTACTAGATGGGCTGTTTTGAATATTAATATCCATACATGTATTTTATCACATGCCTCAAAAAGAGAGCCTATATGCTACCTCTGACATATGTATTTCAACAAGAATACTTTTAACATTCCATCTTATGCTGTTCTTGTAAACCACAGTAAGTACACAATGCTTAGCTACATATTTATACAAGACAGTTGTTGCAATATCCATGTCAGTGCCTGCTGTGCTGTAAAATCCATCTCTTTCAGTCATTCATCCATTTCATCTTGAAATTAATATCATACAATTAAATCTAATAATTAAAAAGGAAGATCCAACAGTACATAACCTTCAAACTAAATAATAAACACTGTTATCACAATGCTTGACTAGCTGTGGTTATGTGTACCTTTTCAAGACATGGCATCACAGTGTCCTCTTCTCCAAAGACACACGGCACCATGCTACACAGATGAATATGGTGCCCTATGGGAGAACTTACTGTGAAGAGCAATGTGTGTCGCCTACAATCAAGAAAAAAAAAAAAATCAGCCAAAGGTCTTTTAGTCAGGATTATAGTTAGCTACACTTAAAAACACATCTGCTCTAGAAAGCTTAGAGAACAAGTCAGGTGTCCAGGTCATGCATTACTTGAATCATAATTTCCATGTTTGCATTGACAAAACCAGGAAAAATTAATACATAATCGTGAAATGCCCTCAGGCCACCAACAGAGGGGAGAAAGTGCCCTCCTGGCTTAGCATGTAATTTCTCATTTGGAATGAAATGGGGAAGTGGTCAATAAGCCCATTTGTCGCCCACACCTGCTGTAAATTGACTTCCTGAAAGCCTGCTGGCTCTGCCTGGAGTAGAGAGAATCAAAGGTGAGAAACCTGTCAATTTGAGCTGCCTGTATCTCTGGTAGCTTTGAAGTTTGCAAGTGCAAAAAAGATATGCTTTTGGCTTTCCTACAGGACAGAGATAAGCAAATTTTGGAAACAACACTAAGAAAATACATGTCTTGGCAGAACTAACCTATAAACACAATAATAACTTTTGCTTTTTTAATTTGAATCAAAACAAATAGCACTATTAAGCATCTTAGATTTAATATCAGTGTGCTAGTATTGTGACATTTTCTTTCTATGCCTACTCATTCATAACCTTACTTGTGTTTTTAAAAATACATTTTTTGTCTCCTCTTTTGAGATTAAGCTGGTGGTGCTCTATTTTTGGAAGAGTAGAAGGCCTCAGTGAATTAGTCATCAACTTTTTGCTTATGGCAAGATATGAAGAAGTCATCTTCCTTGTTCATAGGAAGCATTTTCAGAAATTAACAAATATTAAAGGCTCCTGCCTTCTATCTCTTTCTTTAAGCAGTCAATGTTCTACGCTGAATATCTAGTTACATGCAAAGAGAAATAAATCATATTAAGCACTATATGAAGTAAGATATGCAAGGCTTCATGGATAACCTCACAATTTCTCCTGTCATGTTTCATAAATCCCATTCTAGGGAAAGCTATGAAACCTCCTATGATATTATCATCCTTTTACAGTTCCACTAAAAATACTAAGTTTTGTTGGTACTCCAGGGAACATCTTAAAACCATTCTAGTTAGTAACACTTTTAAGTAAGCATTTGCATTCTACTTTATATTTTAGCATGTCAATGTGATTTTTCTTGCTAAATGCTCTTAAATAAGAGTAAAGAATTCAAAATCTTTACAAAGGTATTGGTAATTATTTCAAATTCTTAGCCATTTTTCAGTCTTGCCAAACCCTAGCTATCAACTAACTTGATATTCCAAAAAGAAAAGGATTATCTCGAGCCTTAAGACTAAATAGTTAGGACAGAAATAAACGTTCATACATACCCAACAGGAAGATTTAACATAGTAGCTTTGGTTGCGGATGTATGCATCTTTAACACACGTTCTCCAGGAGTCACACGTTTCCAAGAGAAATGTTCAACCATCAGCACACCCTTTGGAATACTAGAATACTCCTGTTTAGTATCTAGAATAAGAAAGAAAACAAAACAAAACAAAACAAAAACAAAACAAAAACAAACAACCAAAACACCATAATTTGGGGGAGGGAGGAATAACAGTTAAATTAAGACAAATACACTTATGCAAAAACTGTATCTATTTCACAGTCAGTGAAGTCTTCATACAGGCTTCGATAATTCAGAGGAGAAAGAGCCAGTCATTTATAACGTACAGGTGGCACAGAATATGACTTATATGTACTATTTACTAGAAAATAATGGTTAAAAAAAAATGTGTTTTAGGAAGATGTGTAAATCAGATATCTTCCAAGTCACATAAGGCTGCTCTAATATTACCCAAAAATCCATTCTGTCCACACGCACAGGAAGCAAACAGCCACACAAAACTTATATTTATAATACATTTTTATTATTTTAACAGAATAGTCAGTCTGGAATTTTTAAGCTTTCTTTTGGTTCTATCTACTCTGCTCTAAAATTGTGTTCATATCCAATGTTTAAATTTTTGATTAACTTAAGCTGAATGTCATAACACATTCTAAATACCATTCTATGACTTACATAAAATATGAGCAATTTTTATTTAAATCGTCTAAGCTGTTGGATCTTGAAATAAACCAGCTATAAATATAGTTAAGTGCTTACAATGCCCGAGTTTAAAAATTTCAAAACTAAACTTTGGTCATATTGCTAATTTTACTGCATTTTGATCAGCTAAGCCATAAAGTAGCTTGCAAGAATGGAATTCTCAGTAAAGAAACAACCCTAAAAGAAACACAAAGAAATCCATACCAGAAATATATTGATGAAAAGCTTGCAGCAAATCAAAATAAACAGCAAAAGGTGGGAGCCTTTCAAGAAAATATTCATCATCAACAGTAAATAATAAGAAAGTACTATTGAATACCAGTGTATTTCCTAGAATCAATCTGATTATTTAATGCTATGGTGGGTTAACATGACTGAGCAAGTGATGCCTGTCAAGCCACTCTATCACCCTCCCCCTTTCCTCTCCTTCCTCGACAGAGCAAAAGAGGAAGGGAAAATAAGACTGAGACAGAAGCCTTGTGGGTAAAAAAAAATAAGGGCAGTTTAATTAGAAAACAAAAGTTAAGCGGTGCCGAGTGTGGAGGCAAAGGGCAAAAACAAAGGCTTATTCTTGACTTCCCATCCCCAGGTGATGGTCTGTCCCCTTCCTGGGAAGGACTCCAAGATGCACAGCGATTGCTCCAGAGGACTGAGGAGTAGCCCCCTCCTCGCCCCACCTCCTTTGCACTAGCTTTATAGTTGAGCTAACGTCATGGGATATGGAATAGTCCTTTGGGTCAGTTCGGGTCAGCTGTCCTGGTTATGTTCCCCCCAAGCTCCTGCCCCCCCATCCCACTGGCAGGGGCTTGTTAGAAAGAGCCTCGGTGCTGTGCGAGCGCTGCTCAGGGGCAGTCACAACACGGGTGTTACCAGCACCCTTCTAACTCCCAACACAAAGGCACTGTGCCAGGAGGGCTGCAATGGGGAAATCAGCTCGGCCAGACCTGATACAAATGCTAAACTCTCAAACTGTGCCAAAACACAACACAGCCAAAAACAACAGCACAGACATATTCAAGTATGAGTAAACACAACATTAATGTGCACTTTTCTGTGTTGGCCTTACCTCCAGTATCACCCCAGCGTACTAATGCAGAAAAGCTAACCAGGATTTCAATGGGCATCAGACTGTCCACAAGTAAATAATAGAAGACTCGGTTGTCAGTAGGCTGCATGCAAAAAACAGATTTTCATTGAATGCTATAGGCTTGGGCTTATACATAGTATGACTAAGATTTCAGATACTGTGAACCTAGATATTGTATGGGAAGTAATAAACTGTCACTCCTTCTTCTAGATTTCAAAAGTCATTTAAGCCCAGAACCTCATGCTGCATGTATACACCATAATGATCAGTTAAATGTAAACAAAAAAAGTTTATTGAATGAGCATATATCTTTTATTATATTCTTTATATGTAACTCAGTTTAGTAGTTCTACTTGCCAAGCAACAATTCAATGGAAAACCAAAGATTTTTTGTGCTGCAGCTTTCTAATCACAGAAAACTCGAAAGAAGTAAGTACTCTTTTAATTTGCAACACATGACTGATTCTGCCTCATTTTTTCTTTCTACTACATAATGATTCTACTTTTCTTCTGGTTCTACTAGAAATGTTTTAATGTGTCTTCCTACATTCTCTAGTCATATCAATACTTTTTTTTTTATTTGATCCTGCAATACCACTACCATTATCTTCATAGCATAATATGAAAACATTCTTTTATAAGTTTGATACAGAATTTACCTAATAGTGCAAACACCTCGTCTGCATCAATGTAAAAAAAAAAAAAAAAAATGGTTTTACAGCAAAGGTGTTAGGTTTTTTTTTTGGCACAAGAGCCCACAGGTTTACATAGTCTGATTATGGCTTGTGAAAGCATTTCATGCAGTGATTGGGAAAATTTCTTGGAATGTGATCACAAATACAGAGAAGTGTGAAATTGCAGGTATACGACAATTATGAAACATAAATTCATGTAGTTAACCTTCTCAGTACAAGATTTTGCCTAAAGTTCATGTATAGAGTTTACACTTCAGTACTCTATACTTACTCTTTAGTTAGAGTATAAAACTAGAGCTGGAACAGGATATTCAAACACATTGAATACACATCTGATAATAAGAACTAATGGCAGGTTTGAAGAAATACTGTAATTTCAGTGTAACTAAGGGAAATTTCTAATGCCTGCACAAAAATCCTAAGCATGTAAGGAGAAAACGGAGGGCTACACTACATAGACTCTTGATTTGGGTTTTAGGTGACAGGTGAAGATGAAGGAGAACTGAATTCTGACAGGAACTTATTTTCTAAATTGTTAAAAGGTAGATTTAAATCAAAATAAAGAGAGGATGGAGATCTGGTTCACTGTAATATACACTCTCACTATCAACTTCCATGATTTACATCCTCATTTTTTTTTTATTATTGTGCAATAGCATCCCATAACATTTTTTTATGTCTTAAACACAGTAAAATGCTTCTGGATATTTGGTAGCAAACTTTATCTATGTATTCACTATAGTAATCTTAATGTGTTGTTATTTTTTTCAGTAATAGCAGCTCTATGTGGTCTACCAATACAATTTAGTATGTATGTATTACTTAATTATGTAAGACTACAAAGATTTTAAAAAGCACATAAAAACTCAGTATGGTCATATACCTTAAAATCTGTCTTCTGATAGTTATAAGCATATGTATGTGGCTTATGGAAAACATACAGGTTCCTAGGGAGAAGATAAAATAAATATATCGGAAAATAATGTTAGTATAAATTGCATATTGCAGGTAAATATATATTTCATAGTATAAGATACTAATTTTAATTTCATAAATGAGACTCCCAGCTATTTCTGAAAAAATGGTTCAACAGTTTTAGTTTCATAATAGATTAATACAATTCATATCCAGAGAAAGCAGCTGACATTAATTTCTACCTTAGCTGCATTTCTGCAGTTTTCCATTGGAGGTCAGGCACCTGTTTTGTCCAATTTGAATCTATAAACGGTAATAAGCTAATGTTACTTTGAAACCTCCATGCCTACCTGAAAATTACTGTAATAAAGTTATCTATAAAGTATCACTCTAAGGAAGACCTATTTTGTATTGTTTATTAACATGTTTTTTTTCAATTCTATGGAATTTGCACACCTTCAGAAAGCTAACATTTTTTCTGACCTTGACTTAAGCAAGAGCAACACAAATTACTTCAGTTTTAATTCAAGATGGAATCAGATGTGAAATTCATTTTTTTTAATGTAAAATAAATGTTTTGATTGGTCAGCAGCTTCATAAGGATCCTGATCCATTGCTGACACATCAATGAGTACAATGACTAAAATTTTCCTATTACAATAAATTCTCCAAGTTGATATGAACTCTGAACATCCACCTTATTTTCATTGTATCTGAGATGCCGGTATGTCAGACAAAGAAATGCTTTCAACAGAACTGACTGTAAAATGAAAATCTTAGGTGCCTAATTTTTTTCTGAGTGGTAAAAGCTGCAAAGGTCAATCAAGATGCTTTGTTAGCAGCTACTTCATCAGTTCACTGTGAAAATAAGTAAACTCTCACCCATTTAGAGACAGGAGTAAGAATCAGAATCACTGACAAATGCTCTATATCTTAAATAATACTATAGTGGTCTAGAAAAGGTCTAAAGTACTTTAATGTTTGGCTAACAAGTTAAAAAGTTTGTACATTACATTCTTTCTGTAAGACACTGTGAGCAAGACTTTGAAAGGAAATTACTTCGTGATGGTTTTTTCTGAAGGCCTTACCCTCCTAGACCTGGGGCTCCCTAAAAGTAGTCAGGTAAACTTTTACAAGGTTCAAAGTGACCTACGATCTTTTATTATAATGTCCTAAGTGCTGCTGGTACAAGTGTTACACATTCTCCCTCAGACAGGGAGCAGAGCTCAGTATCTGCTCAAGAGAACGAAAACTTCACAAAATCTCAGTTACAAATTCAAATGAAAAAAAAAGGGTGAATTTTCTCTGATAAGATTACTCTGCTCAGCAATGTCAGATTCTCTAAAGGATCTATATTGTACCAGGGTTCTTAAATCTCAAACACAGAAACTAAAGATATTATGCTACTATTAAACTAGCTTTTTTTTATGTTTGCAGAAGTATAAATGCCTTGATAGTACATTGACCAAGCTGAGATACGCTGATTGCAACAGAAGATTTCAATTAATTTTTTTTTGCCTTAGAAATGTGTTGTTCAGATGCACTGACTGCCCAGTGGTTGATGGGTCAGGTATGTGAGCACCCTAATGGCTGCATGTTCCACAGCCTCCCATCTTCCACCCACATTACAGTCTGACATATGCTTTATGAAGCTGGTGGTCACGTTCTCCACTGGACTCTGGAGGACGCACCCAAGGCACAGCGTGGAACTGCACCTACAGACTCACTGTCAACAGGAAGAGTAAAGTCTGATCTGAAGAACAGCCTTCGTTGTACCCTGAAAGGCAGGATGCTTATACAAAGATCTGTTGAGAAGATGCAATTTTTATGTAGTCATGTTTCACATTTTACCAATTTTATACTATACATTTTATGGAATAAACCCCAAAGTCTCTGTTCCTTACTGGAAACAAACACAGAAGTCTTCAAAGCTAATCCAGGTTTCCCTGGAAACAGAAGTCCTTTCTGACTCGATTTCTTTATCCACTGGCTGGTTGTTCATATCAGTATCAGCTGTTTCTGACATTTGTTTTGCATCAAAACTGATAGTCTCACATAACTTTTCTGCAGAGATAAGATGACACACATAGCCAATACAATGACAATATGCACATTAAATGTAGTACCATTCTTATATTGAAAAATTATCCTAAAATTACCAGGATATTTTTCATAGATGTCAGAGTTTGAAAATAAAAACTCACTAACATGAAAAGCTTAAAGTTGACTGACACAACTCTATAGATATTTGTTGTTTATATCTGCAACTGCTTAAGTGTTCTGCCTCAATATACTATCACATTGAACTGTGCACTAGAACATTTAATATGAGCATGTTAGGTAGACATATATACAAATGCTGAAAACCTTATGTTATCTATATAAAGCAAAATACAACTCCTTGTCCAAAGCTCCTATTCAGTGCAAAGATGACGGGAGAGTATCATAAGTTTTTTACAATGCACAGAAAAAAAAAAAAAAACACCACAGAATTGTGGAGGACACAAAGACCTATCCTTGCCTCTGGTACTTACACAGTACACTCTGAGATACTACTCACACAAATCAGTCAATCTACTTGTCAAGAGAAATAGATTTGAACCACTTTAATTTTCTTGTTGGAAAATCAGATCTACTATCAGATGCATTACAAAATATAAACACAGAAATGTCATGTAGAAACATTTTGCAATCATTTAGTAACTTTTTAAGTTGTATTGTAACATCACTTTCTCTGCGCTTACTCTGTGGGATTCATTTAAATAGTTACTGGAGATGTTTAATCTAGCCCCTCAAAAAGTTTTGAGAATAGCTCAGAACACTTGAAAACAGAAAAACAGAATAGCTCAAACATGAACAGCTATTAACTCAGAATGTTTGCTGAGAAAAAAAGATGAGGTAACATCCAAACGAGTAAGGTATAACAAATGAGAAAGCTAATTAGAATAATACATAATTTATATTCAAATGTGCTTTGCAATATTTCATGATGAGCAAGACATACTGGTGTGCTGGATAATTAACTAGTTTATAAGAAGTGGGTGGCTCTAAATTAGTTTGCAACTATTTTTCATAAATTCAAAGAAATGTAATGAAAGGAAATGCACCAAAGACCTTTTCCTCTTCCTTTTACTATGGAAAAACAATTTTTTAAAAAAAAAAAAAGCTATAAAATCTAGGCTAGGTTTTTTCTTAGATTTAAATGAACATGGGTTTTAGGCCTCCAGTAAAATAACCACAGTGCTTGACTTAGAAATATGCATATCACAGAGAAGATGAAGAAGGGGTCACCAGAGCAGAACTATGTCCAATATCATCTTCCTGTGGCTCAAAGTTGCAATTTGTTCATCCTGAACATGAGTGCTAGAACATTATCAACAGACCGTCTTCAGGATCGATAGGGCTAGGAGATCTCTGCAGCCTTCAAATAGAAGATATGCTCCATCCTATTTAAAGGTTAATACCTAAACCTTTTTGCTAATTATGTATGCAGACTGGGGTCAGAGGAGAGGTAGCTCTTCCACTGCAGCTAAGGGAAAGCAAACACAGCATCAACAAAATGGCTGAAGTTTTCCCACTCCTCTTTGGTAATGAGAAACTTGTAAGAATGTAATCAAAAAGCATATTTTATCCTTTTTCATCTATGCAGTCCAAAGGCAGTGCTGTTCAGAGCTTCCCCACAGAATAAAAAAGTAAATCAAACTGCTAACTATCATTTACCTTGTATGCAGAAAGTGCCATTTCCAGCTATGAGAAGCTGCAAACATTGGGTGATTTAATGAAGATACAATTTATGGAATAAATATAAAAAAAATTTGAAGCTAGTCTTAAGAGATGTTTAGTATAATATAGTATTTTAAAACTGACATATGGAAGATAATTGCAGCAAATAATTGCCCATAATTATAATTCCTTGAAATGATGCAAATACTAATCAAATGCAGTAAGATTAGATGAGCTGCTTATAAAGTTAAACACTGCAGAAAGCTTCAGAAAAGGGAACAGTATATTTGAATTCAACAATTTTATGCTACTTAAAACTCAAGTAAAAAAGATTAATGTTACAAACAATCTCACGGAAAAAAAAAATCTAAGTAGATGAACAAGGTAAAACATTCAAGTACACAAGTAATAACAAAACATGCACTGTAACAAAAAATAGAAGACAAATAAAATCAGATCAATAACTAAAAGCACAGCAGCATACAAATGAGAATTATTAACCCAAAAGTGGAAAAAAGAAAGAGTAGCAAATGAACACAGATTAGCAGAGCTTATTACAAAAAGACCTAGTTATATAAGAAAATACTGTACTGCATGAAACCCCCAAAATTATTAGAAAACATAATGTTCTTAACACAGTGAGAAGACATTTTAAGACAGCTTAACATCAAACATTGCCATTGCTTCTGGCAAGTGCTCATAATTTTTCAAGCAATGGTGCTTTACTGAGATGCTTAAATGGAAATCAAGCCCCTCATCTAAGTGACTACTGTTTTGAGTGCTAACATTTATTCGCTATCTGGACTCTGTGTATAAGCTAACTCTCAAGGAAAACACAATAATAAACAAATTAAAATATTGGCTAGGAGTGTAAATGAAAAAAAAAAACCAAAACACACACACACAAGAAAATACTGTCTATATAGAAAAAATGTTCAAAATGTTTCAAAAATTAAATAAGTCCCCAATCTCAGTTTTCAGTAAGAAAGGATAGAAAGGCTGGCTTATTGGAATAAAGGTACAAACCCAAAAATTTCCTGCTTACAGCAGAAATTGCAAGAACTTAACACACTGAATATGAAGATTACAGCTAATTTCCATAGCAGAGCACAGAGATAATGGCACAGGAATTCTTCAGTGCATAAAGTGGTACTTAAGGTATCTTTAAATGTAAATTTTTCTACCATGAATTCGAAGATTATCAAATGTTTTAAAGAAAATATAAAAAGTGATTTAATCAATGACAAATTATCTAGTCCAATGCAAATAAACCCAATTTCAAATGCAATTAAATAAGTAGATGAATTGAAAGGCAAAATAACTTTACCCAGGTAAAACACCAGGTCAAACTATTTTAAGGTGGTGGCTGGGTCTGTTATTGTAGTGGGGTTTTTTTGCTTTTTTTTTTTTTTTGTTTGTTTTTTTTGTTTTGTTTGTTTGTTCTTTTGTTGTTGTTTGTTTTGTTTTGTTTTTTCCCAGGAGGGGAGGATTTTTTGAAGAAAGAAATAAAATCACACACAGAAACAGAAGTATCATACACACTCTTGTCCTGGTTTGGGGTAGAACAAAGCTGGTTCTGCTCAACGATTTTAATTTGCCAGGTAAAGCTCTTCTAATTAACTGCTCTGTCTGAAGTTAGCAGCACAAACTGCCTGCTTCTACAGTGACAACGCTTCATGTTTAGAGTTACTGCCAAAGATTGGTGTGCAGACCAAGGCCACTGCTAAGCTTGTATCCCACACGGAGGGGGGCAGAGAGCACACCCCACCTGCAGGGAGGAGCGGCCCGGATAAGTGACCCTAAGATTCATCAGTGGGGTATTCCATCCCATATCCCTCATATCCAGTAAAAGCTGAAGGATCAGGAGGGGCAACCCCTTCTGTTGCCCTGCTGTCCTCTCTTCTGTCTTCTTCCTTCCTTCGACTGCTCCTGCAGTGGCCAGCGTCTGAGGAGGACCTCATCCATGCTGCCTTTGATCCTGAGCCCTGTGTTCCTGAACCGGGTTCCAGAATCCAGCTCCTGTACCCAGCTGAGTCCATCCTGGGACCTTTCCCCAGGGGCTGCTCCCCAGCTGGGGGTGATGGTGATGTATTGACATCAGGGTGGAGTTGGGTTTTGTACTGATTTTGTATATATTCCATGTTATTATCATGATTACTATTTTTATTAGTGGTATTATTAAAGCTGCTTTCTTTTCTGATCTGTAAGTCTCTATCCCTTATTCCCTTTCTCTCCAGTCTCTTTGAGGGGTGGGGTAAGGGATTAACAGAGAGCATCTGTTATGGTTCTGGAGGTGGACCTGACCCCAAACCACAGCAGCTCTGCCTTAATCTAAACTGGATTTTCATTACCAAAAAAGTGCTACTTAATGCTGCAAAGTCGAAGGCAACCAACCTAACAACACCAGGTCCACTTTAACAGAATGTTGAATTCTAGCTACTTTTACGTAAAATATAAAGATTGTCCATGTGATTAAAGACATTTTCCACCTTACTGTGTACTATTCCAATGTTTCTGGTGTACACTATACAGTAATGTCACACTTAATTTCAGCATGCTTATCTGAAATTTTACTTTTTGGTTTTGTCATTTTCAGCCAGTGTTTTATCTCTGGACAAATTGGAACACCAAGATTTTCTGTGAGATAACAAATACACATGGAAATAGCATGATACTGCAAAAAACTTCCATCAGATGCAGTATCTGCACCAAAAGCAACTGGAAATCATAGAAAAGCACTTCATCTGGGGAATATAGTTGCTTTATTGTAGTTGCAACACAGAGAGAACAAGTGTAAACGTACAAATTTTGATTTCATAACAAAGCATAATTATATGTTCTAGGACAAATTTTTTCTTTGGTAGATTTGCAAAGCTATGATTTCCTACTCTGAGGACATTGTAGAGAAAGACAGTGATGTGCAATAGTTTTACAAAACATTTCCTTGCATTTGGTGAACCTCAGTAGCACAAAATTTCAATGGACTTCGGTAGCCTATGTAGTTTAATGAGAATATTTTTTTTTTTTAAAAAAGCAAACAGAAAAGGACAGAGATTCCCAAACCAAAAGACTGAAATATTGAAAAGCAATAATTTGTCCAACAAAGGATTTTTTTATATATGTGAGTTTACTTGTTCAATATCACTGTGCTCAATTACAATGTGTTTCAAGTGCACAGACAGAACTTCCCTGATATTAGACTATTCATACATTTAACTGTCTTATGACCTGTAATCAAACTCTGAAGTGGTAAAGTTATTGAATTCTTATTTGTATACTTTGAAAAATCTGAGAAATTTTTAGCCATATTAAAAAGTGTATTAAACCCCCTGTACTCATAAATAAAACCAAAATAATTTGAAAATATTTCTCCACTTCTCTCAGTCTTGGTTTGTGATTCATGCTCTCAGACATTCTGTGGAGTTGAAAGGCTCATAATGAATTACTTTGAAGTAATACTAATGAGAAGTAGAGCTCATAAACTACAGCGCATGGCACAACACAAAGCATTAAAAAAAGATATATTGTATAAGTCTCCTCTCCCAATAATTTATTAGTTTTATTAAAAAAAAATTTTTTTAAGGTGGGTTTAGTTCATAATTAAGACATTAAAAGGAAGTGTATTATTTTAAGAAAAGCAATCATACTTCTACCACCTAATAGGAACATAGAGCTCTAGTCTTTGAATCCTGTAATGATAATTAGTATTTTTCTGTGTAAAGTTGGAATAAGTGGATTTTGCATAGAGATATTAAAACATATGGGGGAGACAGCCTGGAGGTTATGAAGGTTAGAACCTGAGTATGAAGGATCTTGTTATAGTAGAAATATGAATTATTAATATTATAGGTCAGAGGATGGTAACATCTGCTTTGTCCTTTTCCTTGGTTGTGCTATGGAAGCTTTTCTCCAGTGGGCATTTCTTGAGTGGACTTTTGAGTAAGCAGAAAAGATGGCAGCCTGGCTGCTGAGATACACTAACTTCAGAATCAATGAAGAGTGACAGCTGCAAAACTACTCCAAGATCCAAATGCATTCATGGCAGGCTTAAAGAGTTATCTGCTACAAACCACTTGATTTCTATTAGGATTTGGCATTGAGCTGTGAAAGAATAACTGAACAATATATTTCCAGCTCTTTAACTCACACAGCTTTGTTACAATGAAATTCTTCTGGTTTGGTTCTGTTTTTAATAAGGTGATATTAAAAAAAAAAAAAAAGAATTCATAAGACATTCAAGCACTACAGTACTTGAAATGATTATCAGTTCTTAAAAATATAACTCAAAATTATATCCTTTGTCTGTACTGAACATATGTTTACCAAATTTACTTAAAAAGTATTTATTATCATGGGTTTTAGAAAAGTAGAATTTACCTTTGCTTCAAAATATTTAAATATCATAAACGTATTCTTAATCTTCATTATACTCTTAGTGTGACCCAGGTTTTTCACTGTTCCCCCCACCATAACCTTACCTTGTATTACAGTATTTGCAGGTTAGTACGGAAGATTGATAGGTTGCACATTGTCCCAGAATGAAAATAATGTTAATGAATTTGAAAATATCTAAGCATCTTGGGTAAAATTATTTGGATTAATTACTGTAGATGTTAGGAAGTTGTGCACATCCTTTAACTGAGAGGATATTTATTGTATTTCTCAATGTAATGGTTTGAAAACAAACCAGTGAGAGACTCCAAGTCAGAAATACAATTTAATAAGAGAAAAATAAAATAAAAGCAATAATACAAAGGGAAACCACAGACAGAGTCAGAATACAACCTGACACTCTGTAGTTAGGGTGGTGGTAGCAGTCCAGATGAAACAGTGGTCTCGTAGAAAAAGATCTGGTAGCTCTTGTCCTCTGGAAATCCAGTGGGTAAGGCCCCCTGTGCTGTACTGAACCCCAGTTTATATCCAGGTGGGAGCACTTGGCTCCTCCCCCTGGGTGGAGCATCTCACAATGGGTTGATATCAGTCTATGAGTCATGCAGTGGGTCCGTGATGGTCCATTAAACAGAAATAGCTCCTGGGGGGAGTTCTGTATGAGTCATGGGGCGAGGCATGGAGGGGCCCATTAACAGGGAGGACTCCTCCTGCTGGGTGGGAAAGGTGTTAACATCTCCCCTGACCTTGAACCTCTTTCCTTATCTGTTATAGCCTGGGGTGTGAGGTCTGTCCTGGGCAGCTGCTACCCATGATTTTCTTAACAACCCATGAGCACTGACATAGAGAGTGTAGAATATACAGTTTTGGTTCTACCCACATAAGGATAAACTGGTCCCAGTCCCTGTAACCATGACACTCAATTATTGGAAAAGAAGATTATAGATATTTAACAGAAAACGAAATATAATTTAAAAAAATGGCATTGTATGCCTTTCCCCCCATTAGAATCAACCTTCAGAAATGCTTAAAAAGCAAAGGTGCATTACATAGTCTTCTACATGAACTGAAAAGCTGAAAACCAAGATCAAGGTGAGTGTCACATGTATGAATAATTGTGTGAGCATGAATCCTATTCATGTTTCAGATGTTCTTCTTCTCCAACATTCATTTTCAGAACTCTGGTAAAATTAAAGGTGTTACCTAGCAGTCAGTTTTAGCAGAAGTTGTGCACCAATCAAACCTGATCACTCTTAAAAAGAAGGCTCTTACTACCTTCTCCTGACCAAAACCTTAAAATAGTCACTTAAAGAAGTGCACCTTTGGAAAAAAATACTCATTTTGAACACTCTTCAAGTATTCATCTCGAGACTATAAAAAAGTAATATTTATTAAATTGGAAATTGCCCATTTTTCTTGCCTTCCATTTCAGAAAAGAAAGTACAATTCACAGTGATTAGAAAAAGAGCTCTGTGTACAAAATCCAGTACATTTTACTGGTAAGTAACTCAGGAGAAGTGTTTTTTTAAAAAATATTCCTGTTAGGGTTTATTTTTAATACCAATCTGAAGGTTCTATTCTATGTAATTATACATGCTATTACCAGTTCTTTGACATTTTCTCATAAAACCAACACTCACAAATAGGACTGTTGATATTTGCACATGATTAAAAGTGAAGACAAACAATATGGGAATGGCAGAAGTCTGAATATAAATTTTAAACACACTTACCTTTATTGGGTGTCTCTGCATTTTGCTGCCGAGAGAGGGTGGTTTCCTGTATGGTGAAAAACAAAACAAAACAAAAAAACAATGGTGATTATAATCTTTCATTATTTTGTTAAAGAAAATACTTGGGTTTGGGGCAGTCTTTCCTGAGATAGAGAAACAAACTATTAAGTTATCATTGCAGGTTTTCTTTTTGTTTGTTTGTTTTTTTTTTTTTTTTTTAAAAAAAAAAAAAAAAAAAAACAACAACTAAGAAAAATAGGAAGAATAAAATCTGCTGCAATACCTACATATGCATCACCAACAGACAGATGGAACTTTTTTTAGAGAAGCACATGTGAACTGGAGTCTGGGATGAAAGCTGTTCCATATGCCTACTTCTCTAATATTAAATAAAATGTTTTTGGATATTACTGTTCCCTGATAATAAAATGAGTCTTATTCTAGAATCAGTCCTGTTTGTTTCTAATCTAAGCTTCCATTCTTGGAAAGTATATGGAGGACTTCTTTCCAACAAGCTTTTCTTGCTGTGCAGGTGCCCACAACTGTCGCTGTCAGCACCATGCCTGATTGCTACAGCATCTTTTGTTTTCTATCAGCTACATAAATAAAAAGTAGCCTGCTCTTTTCTAATGTTTCTGGCAAAACCAAAAAAAATTATCCTGTTCAATCCCTCTTCCAATCTAGAACGGCTGAACTAATATGCATGTAATATCCCGTTATGTTTAAACTTGATGGCAAGTTAGCCAGCCTTTCACAAAGTCCACTCATTAAATTTGCAAAGACAGCATCCTTCTCTTTGAGACATTAAAATCTTTGATATTGTTAAAAATGTATGCCTAATTGTTCCTTCTGACTGCCCTCTTACGTGCAATATGATATGCTCTACACAAGACTCACTTGCACTTTTTTTTTTTTAAATAAGGAAGAGAGAATGGGTGAAAGAGATTCCAGTTTCTTGCTTATTTCCTATTTGAACGTGGTACTATTAATGGCTTAACTTACCTTTACAGAGATAAATATTAAAGCCTAAAAAGGCTATAGAAAACAAATTTTTAATCTTCTTTTCATCCCAGGTCTCTCTTTAACAAGATTTGTCACACCCTGACCCAAACTCCTCATACATACCCATGTTTACATGTGTCAGAGGCGCAAATGCAGAAACTGATGGCATTGAGCCCGTGAATATCTGGATATACATAGTGCTTGTCTGTTCAACATTTCAAAGAGGAGTTGTGAGAGCTAAGGGGACTTGGAGCTGCTTTTATGCTTTCTCAGTACAATTTAGAAATATTTTTTGAGGGGCAAACTGACATAATTCATAGTCTAAGTTGGACTGGATGGCAGGTTCCAACAGTACCTAAAGCTTGCACAGGGTCATTGTGATGTAAGTCCGGGTTTGTCTCAGCCCTCTTATTACAGACTACCCTGCAAAATTGTAGGTGTTTCATAATCTCTGAACTAACTACAGGAAAGAGTTAAGAGACTAAACTACAGATTCAAGAGTCTCTCTCCCAACGTAGGAAGTACCAAATAATTTAATACTTATAATTTAACCGCAGTATTGTTTACTGAGAGAATGTGAAAGTCTCATTTTTTCACAGCACAAATCTTAAATTCTATTCCTAATCTTTTGTGGGTTTTTAAAAGAATATTTATGAGCCAAAGCTGGTGACAGATCTAATATCATCAGCAATTATGAGAAAAATACAGACATTGTTGAAATTGTTAACAGTTGAACAATATGGGAGTTGAAATATGTTGTGTCTTACATGTCCTTTTTTAGATTAATTTCTTGCTTTTCTACAGCAAACGAACTGAAAAGGACAGAATACAATTTTGCAATTCTCCATGTACTTCAGCTGCTGTTTCCAGACTCCTGTACGCACAACCATGCAAAACAAAAGGCAATCTGTGATGGCTTGTCAAGTGACACTGACAATCATCCTTCACATTTGGGTATGAAAAAAATCTCTATTAATACATGGACTATCTTTCCCCTTTTAAACGGTGACTTCAGAATTAGGCGTGCATAGGGTTGTCATATTTCTGCATGTGAGAACAACTTGCAAGACCCTAATAGTGCCAAATTTCTTGTAGGAGTCTCACGATTTGTCAAACAGGTACATGTCAATTGTACAATTTAACAAGTTTCTTCTCAGAAATCCTGGGCATGTCTGAAGTATAAAAAGCATCAGATACACTGCACAAGCCTTGGAGACTGCAATGTTTGTACCACAAGTTTAATGCTCTCTGCCAAACTTACTGCTCATGGACAGTGCACATCATCCATGCTTCTAGCACAGACATGTAGCAGCTTACTACAGAACTACTGTAAGTATTAACAGCTGGCAGCAGGAAGGCCTGGAGAGATACAGAAAATGCTCATAACCTGCTTCAATAGAATTTCCAGTAAAGAAGGAGAATGTACCCTGGAAAAACTGGATGCTTAGGTAATGGAACTTCAGCCAGTTTGAACTGTGAAAGCAATCTAACCACAGCTGTGTAGAGACTACTGTAAGCTCATTTACTCACTTCTTGGAATGCAAACATAACACAGTCAAAAGCTGTTTGCTTTTGTAATGGTATGGGATGTGTCTTTTTACCTAAACCTCACTGATTCCAAGACAACTGGGAGTGTCAAGGAAGTTCTCATTCTGTTACGCTATTGCCTCAGCTATAGTGACTAAGACATTGGCACAGAGAGACTCAAAGCATTTTTCCTCCTTAATGAATACTCGTTGTCTGCAAGGTCAGCTTTGCTGCCACAGTATCTGATAAAGAAAGAAATAAAAAAAGACTTGTATCCAGCTGTGAAACATGAAAGGCTGCACAGAGATTCAGGGAAAATTTAGTTAGTTACAATTCTTGCTGCCACCAATAGGAAATCTGAACACAAAATGTGAGGAAAATTCACTGGTTAACTTAAAAGAATCAAATTTATCATCTAATACATTTTATAATCAGTAACACGTAATTGTAAAATTAGTACTGATTTATAAATTTATAGCTATCTTGTTATTTTCAAGGATTCATTTATATTTTTCAGCCTCCTAACACCAGCTGTATGGTATTTTATTCAAATGCACCAAATAGTAAGTTTTAAAACCTATCTGATATTTTTATTAAATCAGTATCCTTTACTATTGTAGAAATTATGTGTGGCAAAACTTTTCACACCAGGTTTTTCTATAAAAAACACCAGCTTTCTTTCAAAAATAAACTCTCTGGATATAATTGCAGGTTAAAGAATAAAGCTTCAAATTTGTAAGTTCTATGATTAAAAATCCATTTTAAATCTACATCCAAAATTACAAAAGATGAGTAAAATATTCTTAACATCCAAACCTAAATTTTTTAGTTTGGTGTTGACCCAAGAATTATATAATCAAAGGGCTTAGTCTATAGTCACTTAGACACAACCTTTTTTGCCTATTCCTGAGTTCCTGTTTTCACAAAATGGAATATCACTTCTCATTTTAGATGTCATGTGGGAGAAGGTAACACAAGTGGTTTTTCAGATAAGGCAGTGGTACAAAAGCACAAACAGCTGCAAAGTTATGCACAGGCTGAGGTGTAGGAACAGCTTAAAAATACTGGATTGTCAGCTTGGCTTCGTCTTTATTCAGTCTCCGATGTTGAAACTGGCCTAATCTGTATAAGCAAGTAGACACTTGTGGGCCAGTTGGAAAGATTTTCTGTATCACAATTGTCTAAATTTGTGTCCTTCTCAAGTCTCTCATCTAATTCCTGTTGCCTCGTATCTCATGCATATCCTTGTTTTTCCTGAAAAGAGAAGCAAGGATTTTTTCATTTTGAGCAGTTTGAAATAATTTTTAAAAATATGAAGTTTGTAAAGAAAATAGAAATATTTTTTTTAATTTCTACCTAGCCCGCCTGTTGACTCAAAACCAGTTCACTGGGCTTATGAAATATATCATAAGAAGGATTAGAATGAGGAGAATAGGCAAGTTATGGCACAAGAGTCTGGAATGTTTATGGCTAACACGAAAAAAAACACACAACAGAGAATGCAAACTAAATAGACTGGTATCAGTTATAAACCAAAAGGTAAGACTGAGCTTGCAGATATAAGAGGAAGGAACTGAATTAAGAAAAAGGAGGTAAACATGAACATCAAAGAATAAGTGTATTGTGTTTATGTCACTAGGAGAGTGGCAATTTCAATCCTCCTCTAGAAAGTATTCTTGCCAGGGAGCTCGATGCTGAAGAAGCCACAAAGAGAAAGCAGAGTGTTTTGCTTAAGATCTCTGAATATAGCAAGCAGGTCAAGTCTATTAAAGTATGTAGCAGTCATTGCAAATTCTGATGGTAAATATATTTGGATTAGAGTTTTCTTGCTTTGTTACTGATCAACATTCCCTCAACCAGAATGCAAAGAGCTTTCTTCTCAATGGAACTGGAGATAACCTGTATTAAAGAACTTGTCATGATGAAGACTATTCACGTAGGCTTTTGAACTTTAGCGCTACAAGGAAACAGTATTCCAGGATAATCTTCTCCTCAAGAGAGTCTGCCAAAATTACTGTTCCAGAAAACTGCAAGACATTGGACAATTTATATGTGATGACCTTTTTGCTTTATTTCTGACCACAAAAGTGGACAAAGAATAAAAAAGAAAGGAAAAATTAAATTCTGGAAAACTAGTTCAAGAAGCCATTATTCCACTAATATTTTTTTCCAACTAAATGGAATAAGACAAAAAAACTACTTTTGCACGCATTTCAGAGCGCCTCACCCGTATATATTACTTACCTTCTTATTGAAGAAGAATAAATTGAGCCTCTTCATTAAAGTACTGGGCCTTATTTTACAGAGTTTTTAAACAAGAACAAAAATTGCAGAATTTATTTTCTTAATAACAGTGTGATTCAGGAGCAATTTAACTCTCAAAAAATAGATATTTAAAAAAGATTTTTTCCCTAATGCAAATCCAAAAAGCTTTCAAGACTGAAAATTCAGATGGAATGGGAAACACAGGGGGAAAAAAAAAAGTTTGAAAAAATCAATAAAGTATGAGTACTCTGGGGACATGAGGGATAATGCCATATCTTTCAACTTCATATTCTTCAAAGAAGGTACATCCAGCTCCTAAAATTTTATCTTTCATTTATCACTAGTCTCTGTTTCTGTGACAACAGACCTTAGGAACAGTGAATCAGATATTCAATGATGTAACTTCATACAGTTAGGAGTAAATTGAAATATGCCAGTTTAAACTTGCTGGGGATCTGGCACAGAGGCTGAGTGAAATTCAGTCACCTTAATGCATAAAACTGCTGCATCCCGATGATTTACCCAATCTATATCAACGGGTTTAATGCAGACATCTCCTGAATAGAAATTGCAGAGTTTAAAATGGAGACAAAGTTATTCAGACTCATTATACCACAGTACAAAATTCTACAAATTAGCAATAACCTAGTGAGTTAGGGCTATCCAAGTTTCTCTTTCAGTGTTTGCTTTTTTAATCACTAAATAACTTGATTTTTTTTTTTTTTTTTAAGTATAGATGTTAGTTCAAGTTTTTAAACTATGGAAAGAAAGCTCTCCCATAATTAATCTCCTGGAGGTATCCACATAATTCTTTTGATAAAAAGATTTAATATGTGAAATAAAGAAGGTTATTCTGCAAGTTAAAAACATTATTTGTGTTTGCAAGACATACAAATGCAGTCCTACTTACATACTGCAGCTATTAATAGGCATAGCATTTTTCAGCTGGGATTTAAATCGATGCAAAAGTAAAGCTCAAGTATAAGTCAATTAGCTGCTCACGTCTGAATCAGATTGCCCTCAGACTATGTCATATTCATGTCTTCTTACAACCATTCTAGTTTTATCAGCCTCTCTCTCTCTCTCTCTTGTATTTGCTTACTTGCCCTTGCCTCTCCTTGACTGTATGTCCTGCTGTGGCAGTCCAGCTTTCTACAATCACATGGTTCCTACACTCTTGGACTAGGGGAAAAAAATAATCACAGTGATGTTCTAAACTCCTTTTATGCTTTTAGAACATATATGTCTATTAATTTCTAACTAACTAAATTTATATTTGTACAGCTAGAGAGAATGAAGCCATGCAATCAATAATTATTATATATTATAAGATGCTACTTACAGCTCCTTTTTACCTTGCTGTTTTTGTAATGATTTTTCTAATCTGCAATTATTAAAAAGACTATTAAAGGTGAAGTACTAACGCATTACTGTTTAAACTATTGTTTATAAAATGTACAGAAAAAAAATCAAAATAGATAAATATAAATTCTGTTGCAAAGAATTCTCCTTCACTACAGAATCACCTGGTTTTTAAATCATAAATACCCAACTATTATATCCACATATACATTTTCTATACACATAACAGACATAGAACAGTTTAAAACAATTGAGTTTCAGATCTGAAACATAAAATTAGCATAAGACTACACTCTGAAGAGGAAATATATAAATAGGCACTACAAAAATTCCATAGAAATTTATTTCTCTTTTACTTCAGAATTAACCAAACTAAATTTTTTTCTTTGTTCATGAATATACCTCATGACCCTCTATCCTTAACAGCATGTCTTTGGTCTTCAAGCACATTTTGTAAACTTAAAAGCAGACATTATATACAAGTAAATACCACAAATGTTACCTTCAAGTTTGTTAGTTTATCCCAGAAAATGAGACTAGAAACTTTACAATAATTAGGTCAGCTTTACTACAGGATTCTGTGGGTAAGGACTTTGTTGCTGTTTTTCCTTTATGCAGCACTATGGATGAATAAATTTTCTATATTCTTTTAAATTATGTTCTATAATGTAATCAAATTAAATGTATCAGATACAGAAGAAGTAGTCATTCTTTACTTGGGACAGAAAATTAATGCAGAGGGGAAAACTGTAGCATACATTTACAAGCTGAAGCTCCATTTTCCCCAAAATACAATTGGTATATTGGGTCAGATCCAGACTTCTAGTATGAAAAACGCTATCAGTTGCTCTTACAATCTGCAATAAATATGCAGTTGGAGAGATACTGGTGCCACCAAACTGGGTTCTTTTGTAGGAGTTGAGCAAATAAAATGGCTTCAGCAGACCTGTTTGTTTGTTTAAATATTTAAGTCTCTCTATGTTGCAAATTTTTTCCCTGTATAAAATATTTTGCCTGAAATAGTGTAGTGTCCAGAAACTCTTTGAAAGTATACTTTTTCCTTTGTTAAATGTACAAGATTTATATATTACAGGAAGCATTTTGTTAAAGGTTTAGATAAAAGTAGATTTTAATAGCACATTCACACACCAATTTAAAAGGAAAAACAGAAAAAGAAAAAAAAAACAACCATACAGTACGTACAACTGACCAAAGTCATCCTAGTAATGGTTTACTGAACTTGGGTAAGATTCATTTTACCTGTCTTGAAAAAGTTACAGTGGAAACCTCTACCTAGTAACTAGGATATCCTTGGCTAGCTTTGGGTAACCTGTGGTCAGTGTGTTGCGTCTAGTGAACCTGTTTGGAGGAATGTCACTCTCTTAGTTTTCCTCAGGAAGCCTGAGGGTCTAATTCATGGCTGAAGATTCCCTTAGAAGGCAAAGCTTCTGAAATTTAAGGACAGGCAAATTCAGCATTGAAGCCTTAACATTTTTTCTTGATCTGGACTGAAGTCTTCAAATAAACAACAAAATGAGGATGCCATTTTAAGAGATATGTTTATAAAGTTTACATTTTTCTAGTGGTGATATGCCTATGAACCTTTTTCACTGTAGCTGAAATACACTAATTTTAAGATTAATTCGTGAAGTAATGTTTATTTATGAAGACCCCTGAGTATCATCATAAGATTCTCCCATTGAATTGATTTTAAAGAGCAAACCCAAAATATTTTATAGTGTTAGCAATAGGACTTTTAGAATCTGAGCAATGAATAATAAAAAAAAATGGAATAAACTAAAAACTATTAGGAAAGATTTCCCACCTAGTATACATCAATACTAAAAAGTGGAAGGGCAAGGAAGTTACTTAAATGGGGTGTGTGTGGAGGGGGGTGTGAAGCTTACTGAAAGGTCTTAAAAACCCCTATATTTAAGTACTGAGCATTTTCTGCTTTGTCTTTCACTATCCTTTGGAATATAAAACCAGATGAAATTTAAAAAAAAAAAAAAAAGAAAAAGAATTACCTGGTAATCACCTTCTGCATTTGAGTATCTCCTACTTTGGTTCATATCCACATTACTGTCACTTACATTTTCATCACTTTCAGCAACAGAAGGTACACAGGATATGGAATGAAATCGTTTTTTGATAGTAGACTGTGGAGGGTGGCTAAATAATAAAAGAAAATTCAAACACTTTATTCCATACATTTATTTTCAAATTACAGTCTTCATAATTACTGTTCTTAACAGAATTTTTTCAAAAAAGTTTGTGCCTCCTTTATTTTGACAGCTTCATAGGGCAATACAAAATCTATATATGCATATATTTCTTATTTTTACCGGCTTGGCACTACACACACATCTATTCTTGAAAGATCTGGGCTGTTGCCCTTTTTAACACTTCAAAAACCAAAATCCAAGTCAGCTGAGAAAAACTAGATGAAAATGCCAGAAGGGAGTAAATTTGTATGGCCCATTGACCAGAAAAAAAAAACAAAACAAACCAACACCAGCACCCTAACATGGACTATTTAAATGGAGATAGTGGAAAATTTTTTTTTTTTTTTTTTTGTGTCAGGATAGTTTCTGTCTTTCCCCTCAAAATGGGTCTCCATAGCTACCAGACAGCTAAAAGACAAGATAACCAGGGAAACCTGCAAAAGGCCTACTCTGGTTGTAGTGAAAGCAAGCTCTGTTGCTGACTTCAGTGGAGGCAGAAGTAAAATCTGATGGAAATATAAATAACGCTTTGCTTGTCAAGTGAACTAGGAGAACAAGATCAAAACAATGTTGCTGACATGCCAATTAGACATAAATGCATAATTGTGTTATTACAGCAATAAAGAACAGAGGAAAAATGTAAGCATGTGTTATTTAGCTCCGTTGTTAAGGGGATAAGAGATAATGAAATATCAAGATCTTTAGCAGTAATACCGTCACAATTATATTGCCTTTGAGCTTTGCAAAATATTTCATTAAAATAAAAGCAAGATATTAAAAAAAGTTTCAGTCCCAACTGCATATCTAAGTCCCTTATCTTATTTAGGCAGCTATATAACTTTAATGAAATACAATAAATTGCCATATATTTTCAGTTACTACCTGTTAATTAAATCACAGGAGATTAAATTAGCTGATTGTCATGGAAACTTAGTACACTAAATAAACTGTCCTTGACAAAATGGAGTAAGTTGACCATTAAGCAATCTATTAAATAGGAAAAAAAAAAAAATACTAAATACACTATGCAAATAATGGAACAACTTAATTACCCTTTTAATAATCTTTTCAAGGATATTGCTTAGAGCATTTTTATGTATTTCTACTCCTGCTACTTGAACAGAAACTAAGTAATTTAATGTAATTTTAACCAATAAAATGCAACTATATCAGCAAAACAATGATATTCCATTAATATTTCCACACCATTTTTGCCATGGACAAATGCTGCTGTTTTAAAAAAAAAAAAAGAACAACCCCAAACCCCAAAATCTAACTGGTTTATTATCATCCCATCAAATCACGATGATCAAAATGCAGTACGTGCCAAGCATGTGATTTATTCTGTTTACTTAGACATATTTAACAACAACAAAAAAACCCCAACAACAACAACAACAAAACAACACACATATCTCCAATGAATTACAAATTGTTGTTGAACTCAGTCCCAAGAAATGTCCTCCAAAATAACAGTTTTTGACGCTCACTTGGTATGTGATACATTCAATGCTTCCAGTGTCAGGAGTTCACTCAGAATACAAGAGAGGAGATGAATAATTCCAGCAGTTTTCTACTGAATGTTCACATCATAAGCTGAAGCCTGACAGAAATGTATTATGCAGTGGGTCACAGGAAAAAAGCCAAGGCCCTGATACAGTTAATGGTGATCCTTTTCTTGTCAGTGAGCAAGTATTATGCTGAATACTGACTACAAGTTGTGTATACATCAATTTCTGAAAAGTCTTGTCTAAGACATGGTTCTGATTTTCTATAAAAACCCTGGTTTTCAAGGGTTCATAGGATTTGCAAACAGACTTTAACACAAGGAAGGCATTTATAATAAAGTTGTGTTTTGAGCATGAGCTTCTTCACCTGCATACTCAGGCTTGTAAACAACTATACTGAAGAGAGAACAGCATGCTTTAGTCATAAACAGTTTCATGCCAAACATGTGATACAAATGAAAGTACTGATTGACCAGTCAATGACTGCCTGGTTATGTGCAAGAATTGGAAAAGACCAGTAGTTTGAGGAAAAATCCTAAGGATGCACCCCTCAGGTATGTGCACATCCACTTCCTAGCGGGCTTTCTCACCAGTGTGTACCTTAGTAGCTTGCAGGGAGCAGCATATAAAGCTTAGAGCTCCCCACCTTACATCTTCAAGAGGAGATGTGTGCCACTGGAAGAGCCTGCATTCAAAAGAGAGAAGATTTTCTTGACCTTCAATGCCAGGAGAGTGTCTGTGTGCATGATCAGACATTCTTGGGATCAGCTACAGAAAGATGTTCAGAAGTTTGTGGGCGTTTGTTTACTTTTTTTGTAGTATAGTGGTTTATTTTTTGTATTGCTGATATTGATTCTAAGCATATAGTTCACTGCCAATTAATTATGTGACATGAATAAATCAGTACAGTGTTCTAATCCTGATGTGTTTTAAACTACATGAACCAGGGTGGTTTTCCCTGTCATATAAGTAAACATAAGTTCATTTCACTGTGAAAGCACAATGACTTAACAATATAATGCTAATGCTGAAACTACATAGAATACTTACATGTCTGTGGGTATTCTGATAATACTCAATTTGTAATTCAAAAATAGGCTAGCAATTTCAATGTATTCTTCAGGTTTCTTTACCACAGGCTCTGGAAAAATGCAACTTGTTAAATATATATCTATAAGAGATGTTTAATATTATAATTTTGACAAATAACTCTCATAAGAGATTCATTGCAAACACTTGAATGGAACAACCAGGGGTGGCTTTAGGTGAAATATCTTTAAAAAAAACCCAAGTGCTTAACACTTTGATCCTCAGCCTGCAAGGTATTAGAAGTGTGCTTAACCTGTATGTAAGGTTATCCATGGTAGCTCAGAACAACTATGGCACCACACTCAGCCTTTGCTGATTTCCTCTGTTTCTCATCCCAGCACATTTCACTAGCATGCCTTTAACACTTTCACATTCAAGCTATCTCATATAAGGCATTTAGCTCCATTATGCAGTATAGATAAACCTCAGAATAAGTGTAACTAACAACATGAGTTGCTGCAACAGGACTTGTCATATAGCCTAAATGTTTAAAAGGTGTTCAGAAGCTTTCATGCCTCTTCATCAAAGAGCTTCTGCACTGCTTTGTTAATGCTCCCTCTTCGTTTTCTCCAGTAGAATGCCTTTTTAGAGATAAATTAAGACACTTCTCAAAGCATTTAAGAAAGAATAGGGCTAAAGGGAGTAATACAAAGTTGGCAAGAAAAAAAAAAAAAAGAGAGAAAAAGTAATCCCCTAGGGAAGTTCCACTGAAATTTTTAATAATTAAAATGTAATAACAAATTTATTTGTGATGTTTGAGTAGACAAACCTTGGGGTTCAGATGTCACAACAATTTCCTTTTTCTGACGGAAAAGCTTCCAACGAGGAACTGGTGGTGGTTGTGGTGGTGCTACCAGAGGACAGGACCTAGTTCTAGTGATAAGGACAGGATGGCTATATATGTGGGAAAGCCCATATTGCCTCATCTTTTCTGAAGAATCAGCCTACAAAACATGGAAAGATGATATGACTGGGGTGAGATCTCCTTTCTCATCATATCCTTTTCACAAAAAAAAGAACAGTATGGACACAAACCATCTAATGGCTTAAATAACAAACCAAAACCAGTTCATCTGACAAAGGTACCAAAAAAAAAAAAATCCTAATTAGAATTTGATGTTCAGCAG